GTACAATTTGGTCGAAGTTCTTCGAAATTTTGAAAACTTTTGAAGGTCCGCACCCCTCGAGAAATTTTTAGATGCTGCGTGTTTTCGAATGAACAATGAAGGAAGAAGAGGAAACCCGGACATTTTTGGATCAAGATTTCCGATGCGAGAAGAAACAGCAGGAGGAAACTGGTCGAACGGATTAGTCCTTGAGTCAAAGAGGGCATCAAGGGAAAATTGAAAGTCAGAAAGAGGAGAGTCAAATTTTGTCATTATTTTGCTAACGGACATCATTTCCCAAAACAACGGGCGGCGACAAACCTGAGATACTTAATTGATGAGTTAGCGATATTTCTATAAAAAATATAGTCAAACAGAGCATTATCAAAGGACGGAATAGCATTTGCAACATCACAGACAAAATCAAAGCGGAGAAAAAATAAATCAACTTTTACAGAAAAAGAAAGAACGAAAGAAAGCGAAAAAAGTTCGAGCTTCAACATGCGGTTACGTCGACAAAACAAACTGGTGCAGCAATCAAATTTTGAAAATGACTCAGAACCAGAAAAGTTAATAGACTCCCATTCCAAAATATTTGTGGAGAAACGAAGAAGAAAATGTATCGAAGAAAGAGTATAGCAAGTGAAACAAAAAAAATCAAAATAAACTATTGAAAGCAACAAACGGCTTTGTGAGCAACTCGAAACTCGACTTGAGCACCGTGAGAGATTTTTAGTGTACAAATACAGGTTACTGAAAATGAAACCAAGAATAAAACCGACCCGAGGAAAGTTAAATCAATAAACGGAGGTAAGCAACAGTTTGAAGCTAACTATAGAGACAGATTTGATTTATATAAATTGATTGTTCAAGATTTGTATAAGAGATGTATTGAAAACATCTGATTGTGACATGGAACAAAATAAACGATTTAGTACTATCATTGATCGCTACAGTGCCTGTAACTAATCTAGAAGAGCCCTAAGTATAGTACTACCACCAGAATGTTACAATTCCCACGACGAATTACTTGTTAGGAAACTTGCTGAAGGGGTGAAATGATATTGAAAAACTAAAGTTTAACTTATGAATGAGGTTACGGATTATCCCACTTCTTACCAGAGGGTGGTGGCCAGTAACATGAGACTCGCCTTATAGGCAAAAAACTCTTCACTCGGTATAGAAACTCTAACTCTGTCTCCTTTTGTGTTTTAAAAGAACTAAAAAATAGACGATATGCAGAAAAGCAGCCAGATAAATTCAACAGGGCAAAATTGAAGATTTAAAGAAACATTATAAAAACTCAAAAACAAAACAAAACTGAAGCGCAAAGTGAAAGGCATGTTCTATTAGAGCAAAACTGTTGTTCATGAAACATGTCTTTTAAGTTGGGCATTTGATTAGATATGATATAAACGCTGATCAAAATTGACTGCATGGGACCAGCAGGTGTTTCGTTCTTGAAACTTCTTGTCAAGATCTTAGCTTATGTTGGATTATCCAAGAAACATAGCTATTTTGCCAAGATCTTGCAAGAACTTGGCCAGATAACCACGTTAGTTTCCATGATCTTGACAAGATATACATCTCAGATCATATGCTCGCGAAAAGTAACTTATCAAAACTTGGGATCCAAGATCTTGTCACCATGTGCATGGCATCGAGGATTATGAAAATCTTTGAAAGATCTGGTCAATCTTGGACATGATACTCAAACAAAAGAAACCTCAAATAAGTTTGCGTTGGTAATTTTTACAAGTGTTCGAATACAATTCAGCAAATTGTCAAAGTTTTTGCAAACTTAAGGGATTTGTTTTCGGCGTTTTTTGAAACTCATTTGTTTGATTACGATTTAGGATTTGTTGAAGCAAAAAGTATTGAGTGCAAGTAGAAGCACAACTTATTCAAATTTAATTTCAACGAATCATGTTATCTCTAGATAAGGTTTGTTAAAAATGTGCTCAGCTTATTGATGTTTTTATTTTCAAAATTTCAATCTCTTATATATTTATGTTCAAATTCTGATCAAAAACATATTCAAACAATATTTGACAAAATCAAAAGGTCACAATTATTCGAATTTTGTGTCCATTTCGGTGTACATGTCAAAACGTTTCTCGCTGCAGACTAAACAAGTGGTAATTGTGGTCACTCGAAAAATGCACTACTCGAAATCACAGGGCCTTAAAAAAAGGCTGTAATTGGATTCTCGAGGTATCTCGAAAAGATATGGGATAGTTTTTGTATTAGATCCGTGGTATCCAATCCATGTAGCTGGAGGGAAAAGTATTTGTGACTACAAGAAAAAATTCAGAAAAATGACGAATACTTTGCGAGTGAAACACTCTGCGGTCTGGTTCAAATTTTTCTATTTTTTTTTATTCTGATTGGTTCAAATTTTTCCATCATTTGGTCGTTCTTGTTTCTTTTCTTGAGTCTGATTTTTTTTTACCACATCTATATTTCATGACAATTTTTTAAAAAACCGAATTCCAAAAAAACTGTGAACATTGATAATGGGTACAAATTTTTATATAAATTTAACAGAACAAACATACTCGGTTGCTATGTAGTTAGTAGAACCACTTGCGAACCTAGTTGGTGTCAGACGTCTCGAGTTTCGACTTGTACATTTGACCCACTTATTTACAAAAGTTTTGGTTCAATTCAAATATGTGGTCATAATACAGTTTTTTGGTTTTTATAGAAAATGATTTATAAGACAATCAAAGCTCCGGACAATGCGCTAGGATAATAGTCATTCCATTTTTAAAAGTTTTTGCTAGTTTTCAGAAGTTTGTGCGTTAAAAACGGCGGGTGTTCAACAAAACGCCATATGTACAAACCGCGCTATCTACAAACCGCAATATCTACAAACCGCCATATCTTGAAGCCGAAATTACATCAGAATAATGTAAATTGCATAAGAATTACTTAAAAATTGCATAACAATAGTGAGAATATGTTGTTATGATGCGTAACAAAAATAATTTTCGCCTTGTTTGAAGGGTAGTCTTTTTTGTTTTGTTGGCCCTTAGGCTTGTTGACCTGTCTCAATGATTTCTTAATGAGTTTTAGAATGAGAATAAGTTTTTTAATGAGTTTAGAATCGAAATAAACTAGCTCGCTCAAACAGAATAATTTTCCTTTAAACAAGAATTGGAAATTCTCAAAAAGCCTGGCTCGGCCAATTGTTTAGCAACTTGTTCGTAGTGTTTGCAGCTACAGCTTGCTTGTCCAGAACCATACTGCTTGGCTGATTTTCAAATTGCTTAAAATTAAAACATATACAAGGTATTCCGCTCTTTTTACTATTTAGAACTTTCTTATTTCTAAGGCGGCAATAAAAGCGAGCCTAGGCTTTTATGAGAATCCATAATTGAAACGGAAACTAAGCAAAATTGACTGAAATTTTTTTACACTCCAGAAAATTTAACCAAACTTTCTACCACCAAAAGAAGGAAATATATCAAATTCGTATTGTGGAAATTGACTTTGGCCTGTTTGATACCGCAAATGAGTAGTCAAGTTGAACTGAAAGCGCTTTAAAGAACTATAAGTTTTTTATTGCTTTGAGTTTTATCGGGTTGCAACATAGGATTATGCAGAATGATTAGGAGATTAGTAGTTCATATAGACAACTTTTTTTGGAGGCGCCACACGGTTTGAAGAAGGAATTCTGCGAAAACCAGTAAAACGAAAATGGGAACTAACAAGGAGCTGAATTTTAGACTTATTTGTAGTACACTATTAAAATCAAAAAGAAGAAAAGCATGAGTGCAGAGGCCAGTGATATGGAAATTCCGGATAGCTTCATTGCTCTGACAAAGTCATTGATAGGAAAAGTATAATTGGTCACGGTTTTGGCAAAATTTGATCTTGCAGAGCTTTCGAATGATGTCTTGATAATAATAATAAAAATTGAGAGAACAGCCCAGTAGTATTCAGAGCTCTGCAATTGTTGTGATAACGCTCTCTAAGCAATAATTCAGTCAAAAAAGGATTTACCAAATATCTCGGTATGAAAAACATTATATGGTTGTACCATCCGCGTCACCTAGCGACACTGACTTTTGAGCTAGACTCATCAAAGAATTCCTTCAGTTTCTCATACCGTAAGCGTTTTATAAGCTTTGAAAAGCGTTAGCTCATCACTAGGAGCTATGAAATTTGCAGCACTGTCGGCTATGAGCCGTTTCAGACTAGCCTTCCAAGATGAAATGGCTAACTCCACGATCGTCAGCATTGGGCTGTACCTCGGTAACTATTTCAGTGACAACATACCAGGAATTATCATGCTCTTCCACGTTTGAATGTGGGCGGCAGTTGAGCATTGCCGAATAGCGAACTGCTTGTTTTGCTTCATTTGAATGTTTTCGATAATTTTTTGTAGCAGTTCAGTTTTTTTTTCAGTTTTCGTTTGAATTGTTTGGAGTTTGTTCAAAACGATATAAAGTTTGTTCAAATGGAGTCAAGTTAGTTCAATTCGTTTTTAGTTTAGTCAGATATGGTGTTGAAAAAATATGTTTTATAGGCTACTGGCAAAAGAAGTAATTTCATTTATCAATTCAACTTAAAATTTTTTTAAAAAGTGTGAGGCGATTTGAGGTACATCAATTGATTTTTCCGGTGCGTCAACATTATCACCAAAGTGCTCTGTCATTGCTGGGATTCTGAGAAATATTGAATATTGTCGGAAACGTTTTCCGAGTGTCAAGAATTGGTCTGAATACTTCTTATTTCAGACTGATTTACAGCAATTAATTATTTTCTGCAGAAATGATCTGCAGCTAAAAATAAGTTTATGACTTTTTCATAAGAAGTTTTGAAAATTTAAAATGGTTTTGCAGCTTTCTTGAAATTTTCTTCTTGGTTGCATCTTTTTATTTTGTACTTATTAAAAAACAGGTTTTGGTATTAATTTGTGGTATCAAGCCTAATCGCTAAAATGATCAAAAAATGAAGAAAAATTAATACATTTATTTTTCTTTTAAACTTGATTTGTGACTATTAATGTTGAAAATCATGGTTTAGAGAGTTGATGTCTTTCACGTAACTGTTTGACTCTCTGAGTGAGGTTGCTGTTCCCATATATTCGTATAAGACAAGGCACTTTCGGGGCCGAATCTTCGTCTTCTGAAACAAAAGTTTGATCTTTCTACTGTTCTTAAAACGAAATTTGGTTAATGGTTGTTTCGATCGAGAACATTTGAGTTGCGATTACTGTAGAGCTGCTACAAACTGGACCCTGAAATCATTAGATGTTTCCGTGGATTAGCTTGATTTTAATGCTCGTCCTTTTTTTGAAATGTTTCCAGCTGTCGTTTGCAACTCAATGCTGCCCTCGTGGGTTTTTACAACAAAGAGCTGCAGCTTGTACCGAATTAAAAAAATAAACCATTTAATTCGTAAACAAGGGGGCAAACACACCTCCCTTCCCCGCAGGGATTCGACCCCTCGACATCCAAGGGGTCCCCCATTTGTTATAGTTTTACGACAACCATTTTCGTCCGGCCGACCGACCCTAAAATAGTTTAAAAGCGCCCATCTATACTAATATTGAGGGAAGCGCGCGCCAAAAAAGGCAATTTTTTGGTGAAAACTTTCAAAAAAAAAGCCCACAAGCAGAACTTTTGGCCTGTTTTTTCTTCAAAAAGTTGTCACACTTAATGTTTCAAAATTAATTCAGTTTTTCTACTCACTGTTATTGTGGCATCCTAGCACTTCCACGTCTACTTTCACTTTGTAGCATTTAATGATGGGTAGCAGATCTTGGAACAGTTCGCCCGTGAAACACCCAAAGGAGTCCCCCTCACACCTTACAGCCAGTCTGTACGGCATATTCCACTCGTCCCTTTTTCACTCCATTAGTCCACCAACCACTGTTCATTGTTTTTTCACATTAGGAGATGTTTTGATTTCCTTTTCGAATTGATTTTTTTTAGTTAGAAGTAAACAAAAACCGAGGGCTTTTCATGAAAATCATTCCGATAATGCCAGTTTTCTACTATCAGTAGCGTGTTTGTAGATACTGTCCAGACTTCCCCTCGGCGCCTAAACGGCTCCTATAATCAATATTGCATATTTTTTCAGATCAATATTGTCGATTCGGGGGGAGGAGGGGGGATGGCTAGTTTTGTTCAAACCCTCCGCTCATAATCAAAAAACATAAGGAGTTTTCGAAGCTCCTAGATCCCACCGTCCTTACCTTCAGTTATTGTGTTTAAGTAATATAAATATTAACTGAAAAAAACTCAACTGTTTGGGTTATATAATCGGGCGGACTAAAGCGTGAGATATGTGTATTCCTTTCAAGAGCTACATTGTAGATACTTCCAATTCGGTAGGGAAAGAACGGAAAAATCAAATCAAAGCTGCAGTAAAATTTTTCCAGTGGTCGCTCCGGATATTTTTGGCAAAATTTTGGTGGCATTATTTCAGAAAACGCAGTAATCAAAGAACAAGCAGTTTGTTTGAATGGACACTGAAAATTTTTGCTAATGAAAAATTTATAACGTTTGAAGAAACGCTGCGCTTTTTGGTAGTGAAGTTTCTGTAATCTCCATTTTTTTGAAGGAAAAGGAAAATAAGAAACTATACATCTGCGGTATGTTGTAAATTAAACGAATGTTTTTTTTTCGTTGCACAAATCAAACAATTATACAAAATTGAAGGTGACAAAACTAAAGCTCTGAAAGTATAATCTTCAAAATTTAATAAAGATTTAATTTGCTCAAAATTTTTTTCAATGACATTTTCCAAAGCGGAGATGCGCTAGCTTTTAACGATTCCTTTTATGTTTTACAGCATCAAACATTTGTAGTTTTTGAGAAAGCTAATTTAATTTTCTTGATTTTAAAAAGTGCGCTTTTTATCAAATCAACGAGTTTACGTAACATAAGTGTAAAATTGTTTGCTACGCGCTAGTGCTAATAATCAATATGATACAATGTATATCTTTGGTATGAAAAAATGAGCTACCATACAAACCAGCCAAAATACTGAGCAGTTAAAAAACAAACTAGAAAAAATTTTTAAGTCATAAGTTGAAACAGTTTAAAAGGTCAGGCAATTTTCAACACAAACACAAATTGCCGTGCAAGTATCAAAAAAACCTTCCAATATCTGTTATTGTTCGACAACTGTCGAATAATCGTAAGAAACTATGTATAGTTTTTTTCAAGCAATTTAGTGTCGGTTTTGCCCGCCAAATTTAGTTACTTCAAGGAAAACTTGAAGAGTCAAAAACAATTTGTGGTATCAAATCCAAACCCTTGCGGTCGTGATTCGCATTTTTGAAAAAAAAAATAAAAAAAGATCTCAGTGGCGAGAAAACTGGTCTGAATCTTTCCGATTTTGACACTCCTTTTCACGAAAATGGCTGAAGGGTTGCCCAACATCAATTCAAATGTACTATAAATTGAGCATCGAAAAACTAAGTAAAAATGTTTATTATTGTAGCTGTTTTACCTATGTCAGTTCTTTTTTTACTGCAAACAACACAAAACAAAATCGAAAGTTTTTTGTGACTTTTTTGAATTTGAACTCGATACAAAAACATCGCAATCAAGAATGTAAAATGTATTAGGAAGAGCTATTTAGCTCAACCCCCAGAGAGGTAACCCACCAGAGAACCAAAGCAAAAATGAAGAACAAATGAATTTAAACTTGCGTAGAAATTTAGATCAAAATGTCTAATACACCTTGTTACTTTAAAGTACCATACTTTAAGCAATTTTATAAGGTTCAAATTCTGATACTTCGTATAATGTTTCAAATCAAATGCAAAAAAAAACACTTGATAACTTAAAAATCAACCGAGTTTTCAGTGTCTTTTGGTTTTGTAAAAATTTAATTTTTATTTTTTTGCGAATCCAAAAACTTAGCTTAAAGAAAAATTATAAAGGATGTAATAATTATCTGAAAAGCTTTTTTCGAAACTTTTTTTCTAAAAGAAGTATCAAGAATGTTATCAAAGTCATCAATATCTCTGAGAAGGTACGATAGACCATCACATTTTATTTTTAAAAAAAGTAGGCAAATTTTATCAGGTTTTTGTTAATAAATTCATTGGAAGTGCATTCAAAAAACAAAACATCTTATGAAATCACCGGCAGTTTCCATGTTTTTATAAACTTGGATTTAAGAATTTTTGAAAAAAAAACATCCAATCTTTGAGCGCGACATTGAAATTACTTGAATTTCGCTACTTTGGACTTTTTTAGCATCCATGATGGTTGATTTTTTTTTAGTATCTATCAAAGTTTGTATATAATTGAAACTGTTTCTTCAGAAAATCTATTATATCCTTAGCTCAAGTGTTGTTTTCTACTTCAAGTCTTCCTAAACTCCTTCAATTTTGACATTACAGTTGAATTTCAAGTTTTTAGCTGCTCATCTATTTCTAACAGTTTGTTTCGAAAATTAATAATCAATAACGGCAGTCGTCTCATTGTTTTTAAAAATGTGAAGGTTCTAATACTGAAGAAACCGTAACGGTTCTTATACTGAGCCTAAAGGCACGCCATATATTGTAGTTCAAATTTTGAAATGCTTTCACTATTAAGGACAAACATTTTTCTGTTTTTGAAGTAGATTTTAAACAAAATGTCAATTTTTGATAAGACTGAAAGTTGCGGTTTCTTCGCAACAATGTACTGATTAACCGTGTCAAAGCGTTATGTAGATCTAAGAAAAAAATCAAACCCTTTTTTATCGTCTATTATCCAACTTTTTTCGGTTATTTTTGTAGAAGCATAAATGCATGTGTGTTTTTTATAACAACCAAAGTCAGTGTAAGTTAGTTTTTTGCTTTCAGTCGAAAAAGATGTCGTTTGTTTATAAATAGCTTTTCAAATAATTATGTTGAAACTTGTTGATAACTGATGGCGCGAGTTGGATAGTGGATAATTCTTTGGAAACTGATGGATACTTCTTGGGAACTGGATCTATTCGTTCTCGCAATTTTGAACGAATCAGGAAAAGTTCTAAATGCGTACATAAGTTAAAAATTTGAAACAAAAAAGAAACAATAGCTGGTGCGCAAATATGAGCCAATAAACTACTCAAACATCTTATTTGACTGGTTTTGATTGTTTCTGATGCTATTAATAATTTTCTATCTCAATATCATCAATAAGTTCAGCTCATATGTTGGTGATTACTTTGTATTTCTGTAAATTGAAACTTTGCTATGTTAATTTTATCAGTAGAAAATATCCATATGCTGGCGAAAATCAATTCAACTGCTTTTTCTTTTTGTCTGGATTCAATAGAATGTTTTGAAAAATTTTAAATTTTGAGTAATTTTTCTTTACTTTTGATTTTAATTTAAATTTTTACTCAGTTATGAACCTTCTCTGAAAACTTTTCAGCCTTCATAACACTTTTCAGATTGACTAAGGCGCCGAATCCCTGACAGTAAGTAGTGTCCGCCATCGGCCATTTCTTAAACAGTGCGTAAAAGCTGTCAGCCATTTACTTTTTTACTGGGTTCTCACTCTTTAATCCTGGGCAAGGAGGCTAGTAGACACAAATAAACCTTTAAATGTCCCTGATTTAAACTTTCTTACAAGAATAATTGAGTGAGTGCAATTAGTGCAGAATTTTCCTAAGTTCATAACAGTTTAATCAACGCTTAAAAACCAAAAATTTTTTAATTCGACCTAAGCGTCAAAACTCATTGTAATCTGCGCTCTGGAACCACTATTGCAGCCGAAAATGGTCAGCCTTTGATAGACCTGAAGCTGGAGGTCAAGTGAGAGCTCATCCTAAAACACTATCCTTGCCATGGCATGGAATCGAGAATACAATCTGACGATTTCAAAGTTATCGCCTTATCACTAAGCTAAGTGCTAAGTGCCCAAATAAAAAAACTACAGAAACTAAGAAAAAAAACAGCTTTTTTTACACTGTTGTAATTTTTAAAATTTTTTTAATTTACAAAAATTAAACCATTGATACTAAACTTAACCCGTGATTACGAGGTTTCGTGAAGGTGCCTAAAATTAGCAAAATAACGTTATGACGTAGTTTTTATACAAATGGTAAAAAAATTGATAAATATATTTTTAGTTTCTCCATTAGTTTTTTTAGGCCATAGTTTATTAATGATTAATTTCATTTGCTTTCAGCTTGGTTTCTCTGATACGCCATGCATCTTGCAACAAGCTTAAACACTGCGGTCATTGTTCCGAGTATTGAAATTAGGGAGGAGTTTTGTATTTGGGCGTGTTATTGTTTTTTTGTTTCCACGCAAAACCAGGTACCGCAAGGAATCAGCGGAATCTATCAAGTGAAACATCATTTTAAAGCCCTTTCACTCGTGATTTGAAGTACATTTTAAAATGTTGAAAAATTTTTCTCAGTTTTAAGGAAAACGTTAAATATTTCAATTTTTGGTCTCATTTCAAGCAATTAAAGCTGCAAGCGAGCAGGTTTGTTATAAAAGATTAAGCCAAGGAGTTTTAGCAAAATCATTTTTTGAAATTTTAAGCGCCATTTTTTGTGCTATTTTTTAACGTCATTCAAAACAATTTTGAATTTTTGAATTTTGTTTTAGTTTTTTTAATCATTTTCCAGCAAAAACCGTTGCCCGATTTACTTATGATTTGACTGTCAAATATATTTAATTTCGACAGGTTTCTTCAGAATCTTTCATCACACTGCACGCAAAACAACACTAGTTTGAAAAAAAGCATGAAAAAAAAATATTTTTTCTTTCTTAGAAAATGACCGGAACAATATGTTCTACTTGCTCAGCAAGCGGCCATCCTTGTTCAATTTTTAAATCAAATTATCATTGACACGTTTATCCATCAACTACCGGATGGCCTATATCCTCGTTTTCGCGAAAGAGAAAATGTTTGCCATATAGGGAATGATTACGAAAATTACACAAAAATACCTATATGCATTAAACTGTCTCATAAAACCAATTAAGTGGATGTCCATTTGCATAGTTGCTTTTGAAACATATACAACAAAACAGATTCTTATAAAACAGTGATTATCAATCACAGTAGTCAAAGTATCGCAAATGGAGTTTCTATGATTGTAATAAAATCAGTTGTAATCAATGAGTTTGAAAATACCAAAAAAAAATTGCAGACGCCAGAAAAGTTTTATAACATTTCAGCTCAGAGAAAAATGAGAAAAATGAGAAAAAAACAGAACCAATTTGGTATGATGTTGTATGATTTCGTGTGATTGAGGTTATCCTGGGTTGACCAAAAAGTCTAGTCATACAATTTTCATATACGGAAAAATGCTAATCAAACACTTTTCATGCAATTCCATAAATACAGAAAATTGCATGAAAGGTCTATGATTAGTAATTTTTCATGTATGGAAACTGTATGACTAGCTTTTTTCCATCAACCAAAAATGTTTATTTTTTAATTGTTATTATCTCAAAATTTTTTGATTGTTTTCGTAACCAAAAACACAAAGGGCAAAAATCTTGGTTACTCAAACGTAGAGTAACCAAAGGTTTGATCCTCTCGCTTTAAAAATAATGCATTGGAAGCGGCCTGAAATGTCTTACTCCTGTCTCACACAAATTATGTAAGGGTGATATCATAAGAGTGATATCATCAAATATAGGGGATATCATTCATGTCTTTGCATGGCTTTTTTGAAAATCTGAGTTTTTCAGAAAAATTATTGGAACATCTACAGTACGGTACAAACCCTACCGCTGGCCCAGAGAGCTTGAAGTTGCTGCTAAAAACGCCAAAATCCTATCAAAGCTTCAGAACCAAGGATAATGAAATTTTTCGGCAGCAGATGTACGCTTACAATTACTGCAGATGCAAATAGCGGCATAATATGAGAAGTATCTGCCCAAATACAATCAGAAGATTTAACAAGTTTTTTTTAGGTAAAAAGACGTA